GGATCAACCCCGAAAGGAGGGAACGCGTCTCCGCATTCGAACGCACCCACTCGACTTGAAAGCCGGCGGGATTGAAAGCTCATGAAATCTAAACACAGGTGGAAAAAAAGGATTTTCTTCTTCTCATCGGCACCCCGTCAAGAGCGGGTCACTTGCACCTTCTAATCTTTCTCCTTGTCCATGCGATTCATAGATATGTCGTTTTTCTCATGAGCACTCCATCAAGATGAATTCCCCTATTTTGAAGAGTTGAATTGATTTGAACAACGGAACCTCCCCTTATGGCGAAGGGCACGGAATCAACTGAATGACAGTTGATTCCATATGAACTCTATATGAATCAATCGTGGAGAACCTTCTCAACTGAGCTCAGTTGCGTCAGCAGCGGTATGCTTACGTCTCACCGTGAGATACTATTCAAGAGGAAGGGATGAAGCGCTACAGCTAGGAATGATCCTTCATCCCGAATATGCGCTCGACTTTCCAAACATGTCTCCGATGAACATCCTCAGCTAGATTCCACCGACAGCTGAGCTGAACGAATTTCATTATTCCGTAGCGCGCATACATTTAATTTAGGACATTAATTTTACGAGTCATTATGAAGATTTTCTGCCCGTATGTACAGACGAGCTCCACCACAGCCGTGACAACACCGTGACGACAGGCAGCAGCGATTCTACGCTCACTAAGCAAGATAATGGTCGGTCCTCCAATAGCTCGGGGCTCGTTAAAAAGCGGCAATTCATTTTTCACCGGAGCTCCATCCTACACTTTACTCAATTCATTCTTTGAACATTGATCCAATGGGGGAACGGGGAAAGAATCACGACGCTTTCGAATTCTATGGTCGGGGTCCCGTCGTTCTTCCCTCCGAGGGACCTCGAGGGGACTCTCTGTTTCGGACGTTCCAAGTTGAAGCTCGATATCTCGAGGGCGATATCGGATGATGGTTCCTTCGTGAGATCAGGTGTCCTTAGGAGCTCAGCGGTCAGGATCGAGCGGTCAGAAAAATTTGGTCAGAATCGAGCATCGGAAATCATTCGCAAGCTGAATAGCGCAGCTCCCGCGCTTTGTTCAGCGCCACTTCAGGAATGATCAAGGCGTCGTTCCACTCCCGGAGCTTCAATCAAATATTCGGAATTACGGAGCGACGCATCGATAACAGGAAGAGACCAGAGCCTAACACCGGAACCTTTCTCAACTCTACATATCCCTAATCCAGATCGACCTCGGTCGAAACTTCGCGAGAAGTTCTGCTATGTGTAGACGCTTGACCCCTCGACAGCAAATGCTGATGTCTTCTGTTCACAAATCGTTGGCCGACCGCGCCAGTGCGCTCCGGAGTTTGTCCTCTCTTCCTCCTCCACCCTTGGCCAAAATTAAGGCTTTAAGGATTTACAACCTCTCTAGGAGCGGCTAATTCGATTTGGGGCGCCCATGTCGAAGACCCAAATTGTCACCGAACGTAGACTCATCGAGTGAGTGATGCGACCGATGCCCGTGGAGCCACGGCGGTCAAAACCATTTATTTCTGTTCTTGCGAGCAGCGACTGGGACCCGCGGACAAAATGTGAAGGTCGGCATGGCGATGGGGAAAATTTAATGGCCTGAACGGCGGGCTTCTCCTCCCGGTCAAGAATCCATCTCGAATCAATCAGAGTGCCTAGCATACGAAAGTCTCGAAAGTGAATTCGTCGTATTCGCTGAGCCCTTGGCGCATGGTGGTGCCCAGACGGACAAGACTGAAGCTCTATTACTTCGTAGGTTCCATTCGCTGTGTCCAGTGAGCTGCAGTCGTGAATCTGTTCGTTGTGATCTGGCCACGAATTCCGATCGTCACGACCAGCTCGATCTCAGAACGAAGATGGGGAATCGAAATTATAGCTTCGTTGGCACCATTTGGGAGTGAACAGCGCCGATTGGCTCCGGAGCACGCCCGTCGAATCAATAAGAAGAATACTCCACGGATTTTTAGCTTTAGTCGAGACCCGAGGCCCTAATCAGACGCGCAACAGGGAGAGCGCAATAGCAAGGCGCCGAGCAGCACGAGTGAAGCGGGAAACTCCCCAGAACTCGTTGGGCAGACACGCCTCCACTCAGAGAGCCAGGAAGCCCGAGCCATGGCGGACGAAAACATCACCGAATCCGTTCGTAGAGACTCCGAGCTGAGGAAGCCGTCTCAAGGTTTCGGAACTCCAAGGCATGTGGCGGCAAGTAACCATCGATTGCTTGGATCTACCTCGAGAACAATGAACAGCGACGTAGACGACTCGGTCATTTCTGCCGGACAACTCGCGAATCCGACTTAAAATCGAGAACTCGAAAATTCAAGGAATCCCTCTTGAGGTAAATTCCTCCCCTTTCTTAGCACCTTGATTTGTTGGCGCATCATAATAATCGAGCATATAGGAATCCATTCACCCTTCCAACAGCCGTCCATCCGAATTGGCGAAGCCTTTCCGAAGTCAGTTAGCAGCACTTGAATCACGTCGATTATGCAGCGTCGTAATAACATGTTCCTGTCAGCTGGCTTTCTTAATCTTCGACCGGCTGGTTTGTTCAATCAATGACGGAGATTCTTGTTCGCGGTGGTTTGACCATCCGGATTCTTCGTTCCTCCATCATCGCAGGCCGATCGCGTCAATTAAAATAATCGCGTCGACAAGGCGTCAGCGGGAGCAGCTCGTCGTGAGTGCCATCGGCGAGGAAGCTGCGGACATGGAATTACGCACCTGAGAACCGATACGCTGACCACGTAAAATGCTAAAACATCGGTCGTCTGACTCTCTAATCATCCGCCCGTAGCTGATTGTGAGAGTGCCAATTGTGATGTGGGACTTCACTTATCTGACTAAGATAAATGCTTCTCGTATTCCACTCGATTTTCGCGGAGGAGCGAGCATAAGAAACTCATGATGAGAGCCTTAATCAATTTCTCTCTGTCAAGGCCACGGGAAGAGAATATTCCTAGCAAGGAGTTTTCCCGCCATCGGAATCGAGCGAAGCGGGACGCTAGTCCGATGACTGAGGAGAAAAATCCTCTCAGCGGGAGAACTCCGAGACCGTGGGAAGCCTTTCGGAACGGCTAGATATGGAAGGGGTAACGTGGAATATAGACGAATCAGTGATTCATCCCTCCATAAGGCCGACCCATTCGAACGGGCGACGACCCTCTAGACTTCACGGACCGCTGAATTCTGTCCTGTGGACATTCACGGTCATTATGATGCTTCGAATATTTCTGCAGAGCTCAATAACAGGACGCTTCAGTGACCACGTTGACGGATTTCAGTTGTTTCAAAATGCCGTGGAGACTGACGTCTCAGGTTGCGAATCTTCAGAATGAAGCCGAACACCTTGGTGTCCCATCGGAGTTTTTCCAGGGAATGCATCTCGATGAAATATTCCTTCCGTTGAAAGACGGTAAAGGTTCCCTGGATACCAAGACAGTGGAGTATATGAGCATGAGCAGCGGGTCTCCGGACATGAAGCGTCGTATCAAGCGTGATGGGTGATCAGTGATTGATTACGGCTCTGACAGTACCTGGGAGCCTGGGAACCACCTCTGGGAGTGTTGACGTCGATGACTGCGATCAGCTGGTACCCTTATCCGAAACGACTGTGAGGTGGCGCTGCTGTGAGCGAGGGAATGGAGATTTCGGCGAACTTGAGGAACGATTTTCCTGGGTGTGAGTTGGTCGCGAGCGTCCCTTGTGACAAAAAGCTGATTTACGCGCCTATTACTTCACAGGGAAACGCCTGCACACGTTCGACTGGGAGAAAAACTGAGCAAGCGACGATATATCACGTCGCCGGTCCGTCTTTCTGATGCTGGCTTGGTGGTCGGTCTTCGCCTCTCCCCGTCGCTCGTCGGGTCCCCTAATTTTTTTTGCCGAATGGGACACAAACATTGCTTTAGTGGGAGGAACTTTTTATGTTTTAACATATTTGGGTAAAGAGAACGATGAAAAGAATAAGGCATACTCGAGAAGATACGAAATGAGAGCTCTTCACTTAGCGTTACGAGAAACCGCGCCCTCATGTCAACCCCTTCAATGCGGTTGGACTGACAGCTCAGTGGACGCTGGCGGATGTGACGGAAACGTGTAGACAGGATGAACAATTTTCGCGACAGCCTCTCAACTTTGGTTCGTTGCCCTACGGCTCCATGGCCGGGCGTGCTGTCTGCGCGATCAGATCAAGAAAGACAAGGTGGACTCGAGCATACCTGATACGACTATTAGGACGAGGTAATACTCTCTCGATGCCCAAAAGCTCAATGCCTAGTATCGGGTGTCCGATGATGGTGTCGGAAGAGAACCACGAAAGTTCATGACGGCTCATCAAGCATCCGATTCGGAGAAAGCATCGAATTTTCGCCGATGACGAGTATTCTCCGGAATGAGCCTTCCCTTGTTGCCACCGGACCATTCGAATAATTCTAATCGAGCGTGAAAACCGTTTTCCGCGTCCGCGTACCCGCTCCCAGCCCGCGACTCGAAGAAACTCATTCTCCCGGGATTTCAGGTGTGACCGGACAGGTACGATTCGAATATGGCTACGGCAAATATCGGAGTTCAAGTTCTCGACTCGGTCATCACTCCCTGCAAAATTGTTCATCACGGCTCGACGAATTCAGAGGTCTATCTGCTCGACGGGAGCGTTCCGGTGTGGGACTTTTTTTTAATTACCCAAATGATGCGATCAGGCTCATCAGTTTCGTTCAATCCCACACTAGACCACATCTCCTCAGATTCTCATTCGATGCCCTCGACAATGATAGGATGTTGCGTGCGGTCGGAAAGTGCATGCAGATGACAGTAGTTCATGACATCAGCCGATGTACGCGCCTCGGCCACAAATGTTGGCTTGATGGCTGGCTGGCTAGCTGGCTGGCCGGCCGGCTGCGGGTGCTCTTTCCACGACGATGAAGGTTCCCTCTCTCGATGGGGACCTCTCCCCAACGACGAGCCGACAGCGACCGAGCGCGCAAACCCAATGGTGGAGAACCTTGTTGTTTGTGGGTGCTTGTGAAGGATTGCCGAGTTTCTATGCGGCGCTGTTAGGATATGTCGAGAGAGTAGTCAGCAAACGATCGAATTGCGATCCATTCAACGAGAAGCGAATTCCGTGCGCCGAATCGTGCACACTCGTGGATTATCCCTTCGAACCCTTCCTTAAGCGAACACCTCAAGAGTTTCACAATGCATTATACCCTTGGATTAGTAGTGGTTTTCCTGTGCGTTGCTTCAGCATACTCCGTCGAAGAAGGTGCGTGCACCCCAGCAATTAGCCAATTAGGCCATTTAGATAGGAGAATCTGCCGACGTCCCCCAACGGCCGCGCGGTTCAAGCGTATTCCGAGGGGACTCGTTGACAAGCACCGAGCCGGCTCGGGTCCGACACGGAAATTCCGGGACGCCGATTTCAGCTTCACTGCGTGTATGATCTAAGCCTGAGATTCCATCCTAGTATCTGTCCACATGTCCGTCTCATTTCCCGTCTGACCGTACCGGCAGCCGCCCGAAGACATTGATGCGCGCAAGTCGACAACCGTTCCGGTCGCTGTGGCGTCGCTGAATCATCTTTTGTTCAGATTCCCCCCATAATATTTTTTGGCAAGTGAGCCTGTGCTGTGCCGTCATCACTCATCAGCAATCTTCAGCATCCGACTTTCTGTATTCGGCTGATCGTGGGCAACCGTGGATTTGGTGCTCCGGCTTCTCCTCTCGGCTAGAACACGAGCGAATCTCGAACCGAAGGGAGAACAAGCCGAACGGTCAGTCAGAAAAGACCTTATGGGGATGACACTGCGGCTCCGTCTTCTCTCGTTCGTACTTCCCGGGCTTCGATGACTTTCTGACTCCCGCGAGCCTTGCAGTGATCGCGTTCTTACCGGTGTAACTCATTTTATTGTTCTCAGCCGAAAGTTCTTTTCTGAATGCACCTTTTTCTTCTGTGATCCCTCCGACTTTCCTGTGTGGTTCGGTCAATTTTTTCTTGCGGCAAACGGTCGGCCTGCCGTCGGTCTTCTCTTAGATACGTTGGAGAACGCCGGTGACGACGTCTGTCTCGAACCAGAAGTCAGGCAAGCGGAAACGGAATTGAAAATGAGGCCTAATAATTGTGAACTTTTCGGGTAGGTCCCTGTGCCTAAACGTGTCTCTGAGATATCTTCTCACTTGTCGTGCTGACGTAATTTATAGTTAGGGCAATTTTCACTCCGCATTTACCGAAATGAGTGAGCGATGATATTCCCTCCAAGTGAGTAAATTTCGGATGCCGCAGGAGGTCCTCGTGGAATCCTCGGGAGCGAATGCAGCTCCGCTCGACCTGCGAGCGCATCTCCGCTCCAGATGACCATCGAGAGAGCTGAAGTTCTCGAATATCTGAGTTCGTATCCGAATAGCCAAGTGACAATTGACGGTTTACGACAGGTTCCGCGTCAGGTAGAAAGCGAGCAGAAAGAAAACGACGCGAAGCTCGACTCTTTGTTCGGATAGCCAGCGAACGCCGCGCCGGTATCTCGGAGCAAATTCGACTTCCGGCAGAGCATTCGGGTCGGGTGAGCTGTCGTCGACGCTGATCGGGCGATCGTGTGACCATCGTCTGAAGCAGCGCACCTCATTGTTTGGATTTGCATAGAATCTCTTTCGCCGTCAAACTCATCCAATATTGTACGCTACCGTTGAAAGTGACGCACCCGCAGCGAAACCGAACATCATCATTCCGAAGAGTTTCGATCCGATGTCAATCAAACGTCCGCTACGTGTATGCGACGACGCGGAATCGCGAATGGATTTTCGGTCAAGTAGACCAAGGAAGGAGCGAAGAAAATGAAAATAAAATCCCTTTGACGAAACCCCGAGATTGAATAGAAGGAAATGAGTGTTGATTGCGTCGTAACCCAGTTCTCGTGACGTTTCTAGAGGACGCACGCTCGCGAGGCCCCTCTGCTTTCTCTAGATTTTTTTTCACGCAACTTTCTTTCGAGTTTACTGCGACATCTTTCGAATCGAATCGTCATCATTTACGTTTTATTGGCTTCACCTTTTCTGAATGACTTTCTCTGTCTGTCTCGCTCGCTCGCATGGTCGTTCGTCTCCCGAGTTCTATCGCTCTCCGACATGTTTTCCGACTGGGGATGAGGGGGAGAAAACGGGTCTGTCGAGTGTGTAAGTCATCCCAAACGAGTTTATGGGGCGGCAATCACACCGGCAACGGATACATTCGGAGCGGACAGGACTTTTCGTCGGGATTCCGTTGGAACACAACTCAATCGCCTGATGCTGATAATTATCCATATAATTGCTCTGGTCGTTTGTCTGACAACTTGTCTATGCGAAATGCACTACCGATATCCTGGCACTCTTGATTTTGACTGGGGAGGTCAACGGCTCGACGGACAGAGATGCAATCTCTGGCATGAAACTTGGAGTTGGACATTAGCGCTATAAACAAGCCTTCAGTAAATTTGGTGGGCGTGGTCGCAAGAGAAGCTCCTCGCTTGAGCCTGTGAAATTTCTTAAAAAAACAGTTATTGATAGATTGGTTGGAGCGGGAGGCAGCCGAATATAGTTATCTTAAAGACAGCCCTTACATGCGTCTGATTTGCTTATCAGCGATGGGTTTCGTCTTGTCGGGATGCTCCATCCGAATTTGGCGACATCGCTTTCTGCTCGTTATCTTCTTCGTCGCAGGAACCGCCAGAACCGACACGCTTTCCCGAGACTTGAGCTCCGATCCTATTCTGCACTTCGATCATGTTTGAGCTCTCTGGGGCTGACGCTGCTGACCTTCGTTCCTCTCGTCGATCCTCCCCATGATCTTCCCTTACCTTAGTCCCTCTTTCCGGTTTCCGAGTGGATAGATTGGTTCGCCATACGTTTCTTAATCCGATGGTTGTATTAAGGTCAAGGTTAAAGCAGGAACCTGAAAGAAAACAAACACGTCTCACTTCCCGGGCGCTCTCTCTCCTGTTTTCTACGATTAAGGTGCCGGCCAATGATCAGTCCCTCGGTGTACAGGTACCATTGAGCTCACGGATTTGCCTCCATGCCATCGATTGGACTTCTTCAATCTTTACGATCACCATACTACCAACTCAAAGTTCGGAAGCTATATGGATATCAGAACCCATGCTGCTCGAATGACTGCTCAATGCGATCAAAGATATCGCGACTTCAAATCGGACCGTTCAGGAATTGGAACGCCAACCCTCCGTCGGTTGTGATGACTTTCAAGCGAGAGGCGACACTGATGTCCCCCGACATTTGGGGCTTCGCGGCATTTTTTATTCAGGGGGTTCTTCCCAGTCCTTCCCTCCGCGTCGCTTTGATTCCCAGTCCTGGCTGCCGTGAGAAGCTTTGGTGAAGCTCCGTGTGTTCAGCGCGGTACGTTTCCTGCGACTTTCCGCTACGGTACACAAGCCGTCGTCGACATAGTCCGATGTCATCCACTCGAGCAATGCCGGTGTCCGCTCTTCTCGACCAGCCGGGCAGAGAAAGAAGGCGGCATAGGATCCACGTAGATTCCAGCGGCTCTTCTCTCAATGAATGAAACGTTTTCGTCGGCTCGTTTTTCCACACGACGAATCTTTTTCGTGAGAGCAAAACTTTTCTTTGAGGTGCCGACCCAGTAGCTGTCGCTGGTGGCTCTTATCTGAAGGTCATCGCAACAACGCCTTAGCTGCCGTGAACAAATCCACGATAGGTCGACTACGCAGTTGAAGGCGACTCGCCACTTCAGCGACTCGCCACCTCGGGAAAGTGTGCCGAACGACTCCCCGGTTTGACCGAAGTCCCGGTAGCAACAGTCCACTGGGTGACCATAGGGAAAAAATCGACTAATTTTGGCTCATCCCTGGCCCGTCGGACCTACTGCCTGATAGAAGAAGAGTTGATTGACGACCTGGTTTTTATAGATCTTCGTCTGCGTTTTCGGACTACAGGCGTCCGCGGAACGAGCGATTGCTCAGAGCCCAGCGGCTTCCTCGCAGCTACTTGAGTGGAATTACCGATTTCTACGACGACTGTCGGACTGGGACCACGGCAGGAGAAAAACCATCCGTCGATCTTTGTCAGATTCGTCGGGTTTCCTTGTGAAGTCATTTGAATAGCCTGGCCAGAATAGGTAATCGGATGGCGCGATCATCAGGCGCGGCGGCGGCAACATCTACAAACCCCGACATTGGGGAGTGTACGCGGCCTCTTTCAATCAGCAGTGGTTTCACTGCCTACCTGACTGATAGTCGTCGTTTGTTCGTTTGCTTTGGCCCCAGAGCCCCCGTGTGTATTCTAACCGCTCCATCTGAAGCTGAGGATTCAATTACGATTATTTTTCTCCTCCGACCCGCACCGGCCTCGATGTACGGTAGGACGCGCACGTGCGTGCTCTCGCGACCCGACAACAATTCGAGATTCGAGCGTGAAACAGTGAAAAAAGTCGGAGAAAAATTCGAATTATTAGGCTCTCAATCAAATGGCGTGAGCTACGCGCGAATAGATGGTTTACCCCCGTCTACAGAGACACGGAGCCGTGTCGCGATTGAGGGAGATTTGTCACCGAGTGTTTTGTTCTTGTTTTCCGTTGCTTCGTGAAAGTCGGAAATTCGTCGCGCCACAAAAGAGCACCTGGATTCTCAGAAGCCCGACGATGAACAAAAGATATAACGCTTCCCGAAACCGACCGAACCCTATTGACCTCCCCTCTCCAACGATCTTTTTCTCCTACTACTCACGCTACGCTTGTTACCAATGCTCCTATTCGGTTCTTCCTAGGCAGAGCACAATTCATTCAGACCGTCGTCGGTTTCCTCTGCTGAAGTGGTCCTTGACAGCCGAGAAGTTCTCCAAACAAACCTGTCATCAGTTTTTGGCGTGTTTTCTCAAAAGAAACCATCGGAACCCGGTGCGAGCTTCACTCACCGCACCCATGGGTGACAAAAACCAGTGAAACTTCCTCGACGAAACGAGCGGCGATTCACTGTGGATAGCCTCGCCGCAGAAAAAAATCTCGGAGGGGTCACTCTCGAGACGGAAAAAATTCTTTTTGGACTCGAACGAGCAGCTCGAGCGCATCACCGCTCTGTCACCGAAGTCAGCGGTCGTCGCTCGAATCGTGTTGACAGCGAATAGGGACGGAAGTTGATCCGACGGCAGCTGAATCCGATCCGAATTTTCGAGGGGAAATATTTTCGAATCGAGCGCTGCTTGGTACAGAACTCGCTCACTGATTCGGGGCAGCGTATCCTCCACTACTATCCTCCCTCG